AAAAACATCACTTGCACATTATGATGCCTGAGAAAACCGCGCCATTCCCAAGTGCCGTCGGCGACGGTGGTGACGGCAGCGGCGGGGCGATGGTGGTGGCGATGGTGATAAAGCTACGAAGGGAGAAGCCCCGGTCATCCATCATGGAGGCTCGCGAGGTGTCACTCAGGTAAAGAGCGGCTCGCGAGGGGAAAGGCCTCCTCTCTACGCAGCCCCAGCCCCTGTAGGGCTATGTAAGCGATGACCACACAAAAGTCTGACTAAGCCCTGGCCCACAAAGCAAGGCTACGGCATCATTTCCATTCCAAGTGCAATACCTATCAACTCAGTTGTCCAGAACATGCAAAGTATTCTGAGGGTAGAGCCACAATAAGGTTCGAAGAAGCTAACGGCCATTTAAAACTGTGGGAGGCCCGACCCAATGAATATTTATATATACGGACATACATATACAGATAAATAAATGCATATTTGTCTATCCATCTGATTCATCTGTCTATCCAGTCGGTATACATGCATGCCTAGATTGATGGATATGCACATATTTCTGTATATATACATATCTGTATAATGAAGTATTCATTATACACTAAGTCGGGCCTCGCACAATTTTAGTAAACCGGCCGTAAGATATCGTAGAGTTTCGACAAGAAATGCTAATCCATTCTCCATCTAAGAAGAATAAAACGTTTCCTGACCATGCGTTTATTTTGTATATATTAATTGCCCAGTCAAAATAGCCTTTGCCTATTTTCAACGTCTCCAAAGAGACGTACAGAACGCATCTGACCAAGAACCCAGGCCCACTCGGAGCCGCGACACACTTACGTTTTGTTCATGTTGGAGTCAAGAATATTCTGGCGGCGACTGTTGACGTACACTCCCGTCTCGTCCATGTCCAGGCCGGGTAGGTGGCCGTTGGGGACCTGCGGAATGACAGTCTCCATTAACTACTAAGTGGCGCTAAATGGGGGAAAATGTTCAGTAGTAATAAACCTCATGTGAATAAACACAAACCAATGTAAGGTGGAAAATTTATTTTTTTTCAAGCTTTATTTTTTGGATAGTAACTTATCTTAACATAATTCTAAATCTAAAATGCTAGTTATAACTAATAATTACATCAACAAACATATCTAAATAAATCAAACTCTACACACCTTTAAGCTTATCGCAAATATCGGCTGAAATGAATAAAAGCGAGAAATCAAGAGGTTTCCCGGCCAACTACACCTCGTTGTCCCAGGCAACGTCTCCGCAACGTGAAGCGCCTCTTCTGCCTCCTCTACTGCTTAGCTACCTGTTTCTTATCATTCTTATCAAGGTCCACTGCTTTGTATGTGTGGGTGATGCTTGCATGAAGACAAATTGCAAGGTGACAATAAAAAGAGATCGATTTACAGGTTCATATCTACTGATGCTGGGATGCACGTCTTTCATCTCTAAGAGTAAGTATATATGAAACCCTATTTTGTCTTCATCGCCTTGTGTGTTTTTCGCCATTCCATCCTTCTCTGCGTCCCTGTTTTGCTTTCTTTATCGACCTGCTTTTGGAGCTCTCCCCCGTTCCCCCAGGCCTCCACTAAGCTATAACTATCCCTGAGTATTTATTTCCCCCTTTTTTTCCTCCCTCTTACCTTCTACCTTTTAGCTTTCCGCTTCCTCTCCCTCTTGGCTATTTTCCCCACTCCAACTCTCTATTTCGAAAAACTTCAACTCTTTATCACATTCTCCTCTACCTTTAACGAAGAAGAATTTTCGCTCAAGCGCTGCCTCCCAATTACGCCGCATCCTTCTCCCTCCCCGGCAACCATTCATCAACGGAAGTAAGAATCCCTAAATACAGTAACTAGCTCCCGCTTAATTAACTGCCACCGTCCTAGTGATTTAATGAGGGTTCCCATGCGTACACTCAAGGTCATTAGGATTCTCTCCGAAGCTCGCGTAACGGCCTACGCGAGAAATATCACTCCACAACTTCTACACATAATTGGCGTCATTATCGCCGTATCGTTAACATGACGTCCGTGCAAACGTAAATTTCCCGGGACCTTTGTTTTGTTTTCGGTGCTTTTTTCCCTCTCATTTACTTCTTTTGTGTTTATCTAAGGCGAATTCCACATTCGCTGCATGTTAATGACGGCCGGGTCATTACAAGCCGGAGACATATGAATGCGTGGATGAAGCAAGGTTCGGCGCAAGAATGAGACCTCGACCCCAGAACCTCGCGCCGGAAATACAACCCACGTTACCTTCAAAACAAATTTCATCTCTGCCATTTTTTCGTGAAAACCACGACTTCACTTCAGCGTTGGAGAGGATTCAGAATAATGCAAGGATACTTCAGCACTCACCTTATAACCTTCTGGAGGAGGCTTGTAGGGAGGAGGAACACTGAGGTCCACGTAGCGCTCGGTTCCACGGGAGTCGTCTTCCTCATTGGTCGTGGCGTAGCTCCAGTTGGTGGCCTGCACCTTGTGGCGGGAGTGGTACGGGGGGGCTGCGGGGGAAAAGCGTGTGTCATAAGAAACTTGCTACGAACGCAAAATATTACATATTCTAACTAATACGTACAAAGCATCGGTGCATAAATGAATACACATACACACACAGAATGAGAAAATGATTCTGTATTACGCCTGGCAGTCTCCTTTCGAGATTCCAGTTTTAACAGTGCACCCTTGCCTTACAGGATGCACTGCCAAAGAGAGGCTGCATAATGCTTGAATAAACGCATATACATATACATATATAAATATATGTATATATACATATACATACATACATACATACATACATACACACACACACACACGTGTGTGTGTGTGTGTGTGTGTGTGTGTGTGTGTGTGTGTGTGTGTGTGTGTGTGTGTGTGTGTGTGTGTGTGTGTGTGTGTGTGTGTGTGTGTGTGTACATGTTTGTAAGAATGAATGTATGTATGTATGTATGTACGCCACTTTCTTATGTATGTATGGATACACACTAATATATTTATGAATACAATCTTCTGACGTCAGAATCATCATGAAAGGAACTCCGTTTAGGACCACCACCCCTCGAGTCCTGAGAATATTAAGCAGTAATAAGCAAATATACGGAATGAGTGTTCAATTACTTGCTCAAACACTTTGACAAACGCTCGGCTCAATAATGTATCACACGAAGAGGGACGGAGGGGAAAAGATTGATATACTGGATACTTAAAGAACATTTATAAATATATTTAGATGGATAGATTATATATATAATATATAAATATGGAGAGAGAGAGAGAGAGAGAGAGAGAGAGAGAGAGAGAGAGAGAGAGAGAGAGAGAGAGAGAGAGAGAGAGAGAGAGAGAGAGAGAGAGAGAGAGAGAGAGAGAGAGAGAGAGAGAGAGAGAGCAACGTAGAAAGGGAGTGAGGATTATCCATGATAATTTCAAGCAGTTGTTCCCAACCAAAGTAAAATGAGGTAGAAAATCTCCGTAGATTTCACCACCAGCTTTCCGCGTTTGCCTCCTCCGAGGACAGAGCTGAAGAACCTAACTTGGAAATAACAGGGGAGAAGAAGGTGGAGAGAAGGAAACTCGAAATTTATGAAAGAGGAAAGGGGCGGAAAGCAGAAGTGTGAGGACGAATTAATAAGGGCGTAATAAATGAGGACTGCAGAGCGAGACTACGGAGGAAGAGGAAAGGGCGGGGAGAAGCGTAGACAGAGAGAACAAAAGGTAATGAATTGAAGAAGAAATCCCTCTCCAAGGGCAAGTGACAGGTGGAGGATCACATACACAAAGGCTGGCGTCATTAAGCCTTCCATCAACAGTAGGATGAAGGTTTCCGGCGCTTTCTTCCCCAAAGCGACCTCGGGCCCCGTGTTATGCAACAGCCTTGTCCCGCGCACCAAACATAACATTCATAAAAGAAAGCCGAAGGAAAATGCTAATTCTTAAAGACTTTATGAGCTCTCTCTGGTCGGGAGTTGCGAACTCTCAAGCGGCGCCGCCGGCTCGAGTGGCCGTCAATACTTCCGCGCCGCAGCCACAAGCGCCGCGACATTCATTCAAAGGCGAGATGTAAAAATAACACCTGCAAGACAATAGCGCTCCCCCCCGCGAGACGCGCCTGCATCCAGCCCGCGGCCGAGGCGCGCGGCGAGGGGATTAGCGCCGCTCCAAATATTCGCCGTCGGCTTCCACAACGCCTCTGCCTTTTGCTTCCGCTCACGCTCCTGTTGCTGTAACTGCTGTTGGTGATAAGGATGCCGGTGGCATATATGTTGTTTCTTAGCCGTTTAGTTTTCTTACATCGCTTTGTTAAAATAGTTCGCTAAACATGTTGGACTCCATTACCCTCATCACTTTCACTGTGCACTATTCGGGCAACTTTGCTTCAGGATGTATATTGTACAAGACATCGTTATTATATACATAAAAGTAAAAAAGCAGAAGAGAGCAGATTTAATATACCTGATCACATTTTGCTGTTCAGCCTCTTGCCTGCACAGCACGCATTTAATCCATACACGCCCTTACCGCGAGGGTGCCGGCACGAAAAGACCGCGAAAAACAGTAGGAAGTCGAAACCAAAACACGAATAATAAGAGACAGAGGATGAGCGAACACACTGACTGGACGCGGGGTGAGGAGATCTCAGGGTGTAGATATAGGTTGCCGCGGACGATCCTTAGTGCAGGGGACGCGGTCAGTCAGGTTACAGCAATGAATTTCGTTAATTTATCTCTCATCTCCACTCAAATTTCAAGTGTAGAGTGCTGTAATCTGAGTAAGTGTGTGTGTGTTGCAAAAAAGAAAAAAAAAAGTTATTATCTCCCGGAACAATTACTTCTCCAGCAACATCCACCCTGTTAGCATTAGCAGTAAAGGCGATAATCCCGCAGTATATCCCGGAGCATGACCCCAACGTAGATGAGCGCCAAGGCAGTTTAGAAAAATCTGGGCCCGGAATGGGTCACAATGGCTGCCTAATATAGTAAGAAATGAGAATTCAGGATTTTTGGCACCGTGAGCGGCCGGAGCGCGAGGGCCATTGGCGCAACGAGCGACCCCTCGTCAGGCGGGCGATTAAGGGCGCGGCGAAAAAGGAGGCGGAGGCGAAGGGTTAACGGCAGGCGGCGGCACGTGCGACGGATGACACAAGTCACAAAAAAATGATGACAGTCACTGATATTCATCACATTTTGATCATCTCTGCCAAAAGCTACGGTCTATGAGGAATGAAATCATACTCTTATGTAGTCAGTAAGGATGTGACATCAGTAAACATGATTCCCAGTGCATATCTTAAGTGTGTCTGTGTATGCATGTACCTATGTACGTATGTATGCATGTGTCTGTCTCTTCTATATCTTTATCTATCTATCTGTGTGTGTGTGTGTGTGTGTATGTGTGTGTATGTGTGTGTGTGTGTGTGTGTGTGTATGTGTATGTGTATGTGTGTGTGTGTGTGTGTGTGTGTGTGTGTGTGTGTGTGTGTGTGTGTGTGTGTGTGTGTGTGTGTGTGTGTGTGTGTGTGTGTAAGTGTGAGTGCGTGTGAGTGTGAATGAGTGTGAGTGTGAGTGCGTGAGTGTGTGTTGTATGTTGTCGAGACTTCAAGTAATAAACCAGAGTAACTGCCTTTTAATGTAGATTGCTGTCTGAGAGGAAGCGTAGTGGCAAAGCGGTGGTCCCTTCCCCTTCGCTTTCGGGGAACGAGGTACGAAAGCCTGTTTCTTTGGCCGTGAACTTGAGGGAGGCGGAGCAGGCCACGCCCCTTGGCGCCATGCAGTCTCGCACTGTGCCACTTACAAGAAACTCGAATCTAAACGCTACCTGGCTCTCGTCATGCAATGGGATGCATGACCTATGGCAAGGACCACATGCATTTTTAGTTTTTTTTCTCAATTAAACTTTACGTTAACCAGGTCTCTCCTTCGTTCACCAAGAGATATCTCATGTATAGTTGATATACTGGCCCTGGCCCGAAATGGTTAATGTGCAGCGCAACGCACAAGGCGGTTGACGAGCAATGTGCGCCCTTGCTAGTTGAGCACCGACAGTTGTTGGCTACAGCTCTGGCAGAATACTAATCAGTGTGGATGCAAGGTTTTGACAACAGAATTTACTGAATAACAATTCATGTCAAAAACAATTTTCGACCAAAGGTTAAAAGTGCGAGCGGCGGCGAGCGCAATTTGAGTACAATGCCAATTGGTTCCAGCGCGAACATCTGACCTCAGGGCAGCAGCAGCGGGATTAACAATACCTTACGCGTCATGGGTGGGGGTGTATCTGCGGCCGTTGAGCATCCAAATAAAACTTTTTAGGTCCACGCTGAGTAGTCTCCCACTGGGTTATTAAAGCCCGAGGGAAGCGGAGCGCGGGACTACGGTGAAGAAATACGCGTCTTGGGAGATTCCGCTCTTTGAAATGGAGGCCGTATAATGGGAGGGAGGTTACCCCTTGCTTGTTACCGGAGAGAACTACCTGTTACAGCAAGGGTTTATTGTTACAGTTGCGAGGTTTACGCGTTACAGAAAGGATTATCTTTTATTCAAATAAGGCAGTATATTACGTGCTATCGGAAGGTGCTATTGTGTTTATACTATAGGGGGCACATTCAGGACCGGGCCTGTGTTTGCAGAGAGGGGAAACAGGAAGAGGAGAAAAGGGGAATTGTTATACGACACAGACACACAAAAAGCTTTCACATCACGTTTTAGAATTTAATTAACTTCACATAGCAAAATGTGGATAAAAATGATAAATGGACACTGTACGCTCAAATGACCCCCCCCCTCCGAAAATTAATTTAAACTCGTTAAGCGTAACATAAAAACACTCACATACACTAGCTCCAAATAATACATATGCGGGCTGGTCGTGTATGCCCGCCATCAACACTACGCAAAAGCATTCACTGCCAATACTCAACAAAGGCTTCAAAAATCGGGCAGCAGTCGCAATTTTTTCTTTCCTCTTACTTCGTATACCTCTCCCTTTCCCCGCATGCTTCTACCATCATATTTCCCATTCGTCATTCCTATCAATTCATTTATCTCTACCGAGCCTCCTCACTTCGGCCATTCAGTGTTTTCTTTTGTCAGGGAAATGTATCTCCTATGACAATTTAAAACATTTGGTTTTAGATTCTTATTCTTATTATTTATTTATTATTATTATTATTTTTTTTTTTTTTTTTTTTTTTTTTGGGGGGGGCGATATCAACAATCCGTGTTTTCTTTGGCTTCCGTTATGCAAGATACTGTCAAGGCCTGCTTTATAATGTCTACATTTTGCAATGGCATATACTTTTCTAGGCTCATTTTATGGTCTTTTTACTGTTTGGTGTATTTCCGTTTTGCATTCCTCTTTTCCGTTTACATTTTCCATTTCCCTTGATCGTCCATTCTTCTCTTCCTCTTTACCACTATATCTTCTTCCTCCTCCGCCTCTCTTCTGTTATTCGTCTTCGTCTTCTTCGCTTTCCCCTTTTCCTTCTCCTTCTCCTTCTCCTCCTCCT